CTATTTAGCGAGTTGTTAGAATAAGATTGGTTTTTGAATAAAAAGCTAAACAATAAAACAATTGATGAATTTCCAAATTAATTTAGTGAATCTAGAGATTTACTGGAATGTTTAAAACAATATTTGAAAGGTTAAATAGATAGAAAATTTATATGTATGGAATCATAACTTCACACCTCATTGATGTGTGTAGAATAAAAAATGAATGGTTTGAAACATAGTTTTGGGAAGAGATCATATATAATTTAAATATTGAACCTTTAAGAGGTTTATTATTGATCATTAAGTCTTAATAAGATAAACCGGTTGATGAATTTCCAAATTAATTTATTGAATCTAGAGATTTATTAGAATGTTAAAAAGAATATTCAAATTTTAAATGGATAGAAAATTTATATGTATGGAATGTTAACTTTACATGGAATGTTAACTTTACACCTCATTAACGTATATAGAATCATAATTGAATGGTCGGAAACATGGTCTTGAGAAGAGTTCAGATACAATTTAAATGAAGGGACCAATAAAAGGTTTATTATTGATCATTATGTCTTAATAAGATAAGTTAGGTATGTTATGGGAGTCATTGATGGCTTAAGGCTTGATGTTGTTATTTGATGTCTTATCGTGAAGTCTCAATAAGATAAGTTAGGAATGTTATGGGAGCCATTGAATTCTTAAGGCTTGATCTTTTTGTTTAATGTCTTAACATGTTTCCACTTGACCTTGTGAGACACTAAGACCTTACTGTATTAATTAATGAGTAAGATAAGAGTAAATGTATTAATTAATGAGTAAGATAAGAGTAAATGAGTAAGTTATGCTTAAATCATTGAGGAGACCCGCTTTCTCCCGTTATATTCATCATTGCGATGGAAGGGTTAAATGTGGCAATGAAGACGGCGGTCGAGACTGGAGTTTTTGATGGAATCAAATTCCAATACTCTAATATTTGTTTGTCTCATCTTTTTTACGCAGACGATGCTTTATTCATCGAAGAATGGTCGAGACGTAATATTGCTAACTTGGCAAGGATATTGAGGTGCTTCTATGTTTCTTCGGGGTTGAAAGTTAACTTTAGCAAATCTAAAGTGTTTGGAGTCGGAGCACCACCTAGTGAAATATCGAATAGGGATGCTCCTCATGGTTGTGAGCTATCGTCTCTCCCGTTCACTTATCTAGGTATTCCAGTGGGAGGAAACATGAACTTAAAGCATGCTTAGAGGGCGATTATTGAAATATTCCATTCTATGCTCCCGATATGGAAAGCGAAATCGCTTAGCTTTGGTGGAAGATTGACTTTAGCAAAGGCGGTTCTTGGTAATCTTTCTACCTTTTTTATGTCCATCTTTGTTGTTCCGAAAGGCGTGATTGAGACACTCGAGAAAATTAGAAGGAGATTTATTTGAAACAGTAATTTGGAAAAGAAATGTATCAATTGGGTGGCTTGGGAAACACTTATTGCTCCAAAAAAGGTGGAGGGTACTGGGCTTGGATCTATCAAAAGTCTTAACATATCTCTGATAGCTAAATGGATGTGGCAATTGAAAAGTGATAATTTTGCATTATGGGTGAAAGTTATTCGGTGTATCCATGATTTAGACGGAAGACATTGGTATATTTTATCTAATAGATCCAAAACAGCTGTTTGGAAGAATATTGTCAACATAAGGTCTGCTTTAAAAAAATTTAATATTGACCTTAAGGAGATTGTGTACTGGAACCCAAATGAATACCGTTGGGCCTCTGATTTCGTGATTGACCATCGTTTTTCTGTGAGATTGTTACGCGAATGGATTGAATTGGCAGGTCATGTGGTGTGTGATGGACCATTTGAATGGTGTAAGGTGATACCGTTTAAAGTTTTATGCTTTATATGGAGAGCGAAAATGGGCGAAATCCCATCAGCATTAGCAATTAAATGGAGGGGTGTCACAGTTCCATCGATTATATGTGGTTCCTGTAACTATCAGGAGGAGTTGAGTGATCACATTTTACTTATATGCCCATCAACGAAAGAGGGGATGGACTCTATTCTTTTTTGGTGCGAAATCTCTTATGATGGCTTTGATTTGGTGAAGGATATGTTACTTTTCATATCACGATGATCTAAATGCAAAATGAAAAGAAAATTGTTGATGTGATATTGTGCGGAACATTATGGTATATATGGAATGATAGAAATAAAAAGGTTTTCAATAACATTCCTTTTGTCACGGCAAACACAATGGAAATGATAAAGTCGTTAACTTTCATTTGGTGCAAATATAGGGGATTGCTTAAGAACATGGACCGGGGAGTATGACATTTAGGTCATTTTCTTTATTTGTAATGTTTTATGTTTTTCTTATGTTATCCTTTTTTAAGCTCTGTATTTCTACTTATCCTTACATCGTCTTGATGTGAGTTTTTAATATATTTTCCGTTTCCAAAAAAAAAAAAAAAACATTTGTAGGAGTATTTTGGTCATTAATTTGACTTAGATGATTAAGAATCCCCGTAATACTCAATATGGATTCTCAATGCCAAATCTATGTATTTTGACATATATTTAGGTTAGAGGAAGAATGCTAAATCTATGTATTTTAACATATATTTAGGTTAGACGAAGGATTAAAGACAATAAAGGAGTGCATAGACAATTTTTAAGGCCACTGTTATGTAGTGGTTCGTTTTGAACTAATATAATGATATTAGTTGATGCTTCTTACTAATTTTTTTTTTATATATATTTTATATATTTTTATATTTCTTTTAGAATTTATTGGAAACTATGACTATGGGACTATACTTTCCATAAATGATTAATTTTAAAAGAATATTTTAAATTTTTTTTTTACTCTTTTAAAACTGAAAGATTGATGTTGCACACAAGAATTTATTGGTTTCTTAGCGTCTAAATTTGTGTTTGGTTATCGTTATATAGGCCTATAGGGTTTTGTTCCCATGAGGTGTGTTATGTGTAGATCACTTGAGTCGGTCGATAGATTCGATGTAAAAATCAATAATTTCTTCCGTACAACATTTCCTGGATAGTGGTATATTGGCTACTAATGGGTGGCTACTAGATGGAATAATCATGCTTCCATAAAGTTGGATATATTGGTTTGGAGAATTGCGTCCTACCTGGGTTAACCTTTTAGATTCATCTCTATACTATGAAGATTGTCAAGCACTTGCAAATTCAAATACTATACGCTTATCGTTTTGCATCATATATCGATAAAAAATCACAAAAAATTACAATTTACAATCTTTATTTATATAACTGTCAACGAGATTTAAATATTACGCTTATCTTTTTGCATCATCAAAGTTCAAATTTATGCAACATATTTAAAACAATATATGTGATGAAGTAAACTCTATTTATTGACTTGGGGTGCATATTGCAGATTCGCTCTCGAGTATAATTTGGGAATTATTAGGAGTCATTGGCAAATGGATTCCCTATTATTATAATCTATTAACATATTATCCTTTTTCATCATATGCCAATGCCATGCATACCACATGGGAAGGGTGTGAATTTGTAGTATGAAATCTATGTCTAAATCGTAATCGTATTTTTACTTCCATTGTTTCGTTTATTCTACAGAATTTCATTTAATTTTGAAAAAAAAATCATGCTATGTTTAGACCCGACTTCAAAACGTGTGTGCATTTGCATGTACCCAACACAAATGTGGCTATTCGTGAATCTTATACAGTAGAATGTGTCAAGAGGGGCAACCACAAACGGCTCCGAAAAAAATAAGGTCAAGATTTAATTAAATTATATATTTAATAATTAAATATATATGAATTTATTCAAGATATTACACAAGGTTTATATAGCCCAATTGGCAAAGACACCTCTTTTATTCAAAAGGAATGTGGGTGGGTTTGATTCTTATTTAAGGTGTTTTAAATTAAAAAAAATTTAAATTCAAGTTATAGATTTGATTTTTTTATGCTATATATTTCATAATAACCTTTCTTTGAATATATTTAACAAATCAGTTTTTAAAAGTTACATAATTAACTCTTGAACTTTTTATAAAATTACATATATTTCTTTTTAATTAAATTATTTACTCTTAAGTTTTTCGATAATTTATGATCTTAAGTTTGTTTTCCTTATATATTAAAAAATTATATTTAGAGCCTTATTTTTTTATTGTTATCACAGAACCCTTAAGATCAAAGAGCACCCGATTTTGGCATATCACCCTTGACAAGATCAATCGAGTTTAAATGCATTGCATTTTAAACTGCATGCGCCGTTTTTCAAATCATATTCCTTACACATTTGAAGATTGCATGATATGTTTCGTATTTCAGCATCATTTATTCATTTAAATCAAGATTCTTTTTAATGGTTGATTTGAACGACGAGGTCAACAACTTAAAGTGTTTTGTCTTTATATAAGGCAAGTGGATTTTGTCATTATATTCAACATAAAATAACGATTGTATGTTAGCTGTTGACGATTATTCATAATAGCTTTTTTTTTTTTTTTAATTTTTTTTAATTTTTTGAAATGGTAAATAATAAGTTTAATTATGCTTATGATATGTGCTACGAATAAGTAGAATAAGTAGAATAATAGAATAACTAGGCATCTTTTTTGGGAAAATACCGTAAATAGACAAAAAAATGGGGATTAATTTCAAAATTTAGTCATAAAACTAGAAATTTCCAGCTATAGACATACATTCCGCGGAGGACCCTCGTGGATCTCCGCAGAATGATATCATCTCCGCGGAATCCCCTAAAGTCAGATTTTTTAATGTTTATAAGATATGTCCGCGTAGGCCCTCTGCGGATACAATAAAACCTCCGCGGAGCGAGTTGTTTGGATGTCATAAATTCCTCCGCGGATAGAGTAATGTCTCCGCAGAATGGATGGTTGGAACGAAATTTAGACGGTTTTTTTGATACAAAGTGTTCTTTTTCATTTTTTAGCTCCATTTGATCGATACATCAGTTCCTTTTCATTTGATTTTCAAAAACAGATATGAGTTTTGTTATTTTATGTACTGAGGGTTTTTGGCAGATAAGTAATGGGATTAACACCTACATTAGACCGAAGTTTAACAACTTGGGTTTACTGCTTCCGCCATATTTTGATTGTCGAATATTGTTTGATTTGGTCAAAAGTAAGGCTAATGTGTTCAATAGTAATATATCATTGTCATTTCAACACCTGATTTATGGGTATGTTATGAATATTTTAGATGAAACAGATGTTGATCAACTCAGAAATGTAATTTCTAAAATGAAGGAGATTGTGCATTTGTATTTAGAGGTGTTTCAGGGATTGATCGAACAGACAGAAGCAGTTGAGAAAGTTGTACCATACAATGTTGAAAATATTGTATATGATAATGTTGAAGAGTGTCCAGAAGAAGAAACTGTGGCATTGAATACGGTTAAAGAAAAAAATTATATGAGTTTGGAAGAGTGACTAACAAAACTTTGTCAGACGGTGAAGAGTCAAATGAAGGATGGTCCGAAGATGAGTTCACACACGGGGAAAAATCTTCAGACATATTTTACGGTATGCCTCCCGTACCTGATTTTCCTGATCCTATTGTCGAACCGGGACCATTTCACAGTTTAGGTCCAAATGATGATATGTTTGTTCGTCAAACATATGATAACAAACAACAACTAATTTTTGCTTTGAGTCTTAAAGCAACCAGAGAAAAGTTTCAGTTTAAGACCAAACATTCTAACAAAAATCGTTATGAGGTATATTGTGAAATTGAGAACTGTAGTTGGCGTTTATATGCAAAACGCCTTGATCCCACTGATGAATTTGAAATTAGGACTTTCAACAACGTGCACACATGTTCGTCATTACACATACACCCTAATCATAAGCATGCTAATAAAAAAGTGATGGGTACTATATTGCATGAGATTATAGGAAAAACTCGTTCCAAGGTTTGGAGGCCTAATGAAATATCAAGGGATTTGAATGCTTTGCTAGAAATCAATGTAGATTACAAACAAGCTTGGCGTGCAAAACAATATGCTATGGTGTTGGGATCCTCTGAAGAATGTTTTTCCAAATTTCCTATTTATTTTCACAATTTGAAGAGGCATAATCCCGATACAGTGGCCTATATTCAAACTGATTCTGAAGATTCTTTCGAGTGTTGTTTTTATGCTATTGGGAGCACGGTAAATACAAAAAACTTGTTGTTATTTAATATATGACTTTTTTAAACAAATTATAGAGTGTTTATGTGTTCCATTTTTATATATTGCAGATACGAGCGTTCAAACGTTTTTGTCGTAAAGTTATAATTATGGATGGTGCCAATTTGAAGGGTGATTTTAAGGGAACCATATTGCATGCAGTAGCTATGGATGAGAACAACCAGATACTGCCCATTGCGCACATAATATGCAAAAAAGAGAGTGGTCTTACTTGGACATGGTTTCTTGAAAAGTTGTGTGAATGTGTTGGTGATTGTCAAGAACTGACTTTTGTAACTGATAGGGCCGATGCAATTCGGGTTAGTGTTGAAAATGTTTTTCCACATGCTCATCATGGCTTGTATGCTTTTCATCTACTAGGAAACATAGTACACAGTTTTGGGAAAAATGATAAAACAAAAGTGTTGTTTTGGAGGCTTGTTAAAGCTTACAAAAGAAATGTTTTTGACGAATTGTGGTATAGATTTAGTTCTACTAGGCCGCAAGTAGCAGCGTATCTAAGTGAAATTCCCCGTGATAAATGGACCAGAGCATATTCGATTTCGAAACGTTACGATCACATGACCTCGAACAGTGCAGAGTCCATGAATGCTTTATCTGTAGATTCAAGGAAGATGCCTATAATACCCCTTCTTGAGTTCTTCCGTCGTCTTTCACAGGAATGGTGTAACAAGTGTCGCATCGAAGGAGATATGAATTTAATTTTGAGTTTAATTAGGTCGAATAATAAGTTAATTATATATATCTTCTTTACAGGGAAACGTTCAACAGTGCTAACCGAGTGGGCTGAAAAAGTAGTTAGTAAAAATGAAGAGCGTACGACAGGATGGTCCGTTTATGGTGTTTCAGATGCAATATATCAAGTTCATGATTTCAAACATGGTGGCATAGTTGATATGAGGCAAGAGAATTGTACATGCAAATATTGGGAAGGAACTGGGTTGCCTTGTGGCCATGTCATAATGGTCTTGAAGCACTTGAAAAAAACTAACTTCGGACATCTGGCTATAGATGCTTACAAAATGGAAACGTACCGAAGTACGTATGAGGAGCCGGTTTACCCCCTTCCAGAACCGTGTGATTGGGAGATTCCTTCTGAGATGATGGTTATTAAACCCCCGATAATGGATACACGTCAAGCTGGTAGACCGAGAAACATAAATCGTATCCCGTCACAAGGTGGGGAACCTATAGTAAGAAGGTGTAGTAGATGTGATAGTACAACACATAATACAGCGACTTGTACGATATTGGTCCCAAAGAAACAAAAAAAGGCTACAAAAAGTAGTGTGGCATTAGGTAGTAACACAAAAGGGAAAGGGAAAGGGACAGAAGAGACTCATGAGACGCTAGAGATGCACGGGACACAAGAGACGCGTTGGACGAGTGGGACGCAGAGAGAAGACTATTGTTCGATGTTTGATTTGAATGATTGATGTTGTATTTATAGTTAACTGTGTTTTGTTTTAGAGGACATTAATTTGTGAACTTTGAAATGGTGTGTTTATTTTAAAGATGATGGGTAATATTATGATTATATTAGTGCATAATTACTAGTAGAATAATAACTAATACTCGAAGATAATACATTCAACAAACCAGAAACATATAGCAAATGTACAACAACAATAATTAAGTTAACAGAATTGCAAAGGATACTTTTTTTTCTCAATTGTCACGTAGTCGTCCCTAATTCTTATTTTATCTTCCATATGGTCCTTTTGCCTACCAAGTTCTATCATTTCTGCATCCTGGTCAGCAAGCCATTTTTCAGACAGTTTGATATTCTTAGTTTTTTATCCATTCTTCATGATCTTTGATTTTTTTGGTAATCGCCATCCTTTCCTCAACATCTTTGCACTCCGCCGCAATAAGGTCACGACGTTCAGTGAGATCTCAAGATGAGTCTTTATCTTTTTTTTTTGTTCTTCAACCCATTGTAGTTGTTTCAAAGTATTCTCCGACATATATGACTCTCTTAAATCTGGTGATGGGGAAATAAAAGGGTCGATCGGATCACAATAGAAACAATCAACTTCGATGCACGAGCAAATATACAAAGTTGAAGACGAACTCATTTTAAATTTAAAAAAAATTTAAACTCTATATAAAAAATCCATCGACCATCCATGACTATATATAGTCCCTTCCACTCCACAGAGAGCTGTTGTCAGTTCACAGAGCTTTTTGTCAATCCGCAAAAATGTTTGTCAGTCCGTAGAGCTGTTTGTCTAGTCGTTGTCATCTATACATTAAAATTATGGGAATACAATTATTTATTTAAAGGTAAACATTTTTTTATTTAAAAGTAAAGAACGTCAACAAACCATTACAACTAAGGTTAACATAGAACTCAATACAAACTAATATTCATTGTGATCCATACATTACAGTTCAATTGAATTGTCATGGAGGTAAGACCACAACACTTTCAACTGGTATTTCCCAATGCCTAAGGGTTGAAATAGGATTGACCATCCCAGTTTGATATGCATTTCGATACAGCGCTGTACTTAACTTTAAATTTACCATTTGATGGATTTATGCAATTTCGAGTCTTTGTAGTGACACTATAGCATGCTCACAAGGTATACCGCATTTTTGCCATTTACCGCAACTACAAATACCACGGTCTAATTGGACAGATTCGGTTGTTTCATACTTAGTCACTTCATATCTGTCGCCAACAATATGTGTAATCCTACAACCATCCGAGTGGATAAATCTTTTATGAATCACCTTAAGTGCATAAGGGGTTAGAAGATTATGAAAATCCCTTGTGAAATTACCTGAATCAAAAAACAAAAATTGTGATGTCATAAGGTATAATAACATATCAATTCACCATTTGAGTGATGTCATAACTTATAATTACCTCTAAACACAGCACGTTGAAGATACACTGCTTGCATCGAGTTATGGACCATTTCAATGATTGTTGTTATTGGAAACTCATGCGTGTTTGTTTTAAACCAATTGACAACATCGGGAATGTCAATGAATTTAACATTGAAACGAACTCTTGGAAAACAAGCCCGTACCCATTTTGCAATGGGAATATCGTCAAGCCAATGAAGATCATTCCCATTAACCTCATTTTTTAAGTTGTTCAAACATGCATAAAAATGAGATAAATTATACGATTTACAAGTCTTCCAGAACAACTGCTCTACGATTGTATTTCTTCCGATGGAAGCGCGTATTTTCTTGGCTATATTTTTACAACAATAGCCATGATATGAATCAGGGTAGACTCTTTGAACTGCAAAGTCTATATAATCAGACATATGGCTTATGAAACCAACTTTGGTATTGTCACCTAAACATTCTTTAAGCCTCCTCATGAACCATAACCATGAATTGTCACGGTTTATGGTTCCTAAAGCAAACGCTATGAGAAAGGGGTTCATGATTTCCATCTAAAGCAACACCAATGTACATGGATCTTACATACGCCCCAATTAGAGGTACTTGACCAATGAATATGATTGGTATCATAGACGTGAGAAACGTACAAATCTGTAAGTCAACATAAGAATCTTAGGCATATAACAACTTGAAATAACTAAATATTTATTTACTATAAGGGATTACATACCACGCATGCCAATGCTACGAAACAAATTTGGAAACGATTGTACTGATCTTTCGTAATGTGCGTGAAGGTATTAGGATTGGTTCTTTGCAGATTATGGAAAAAAGTCGGCAGGCTGGAGAAACTTTTCCTTAATACCTTATTGACTAAACACATTTTCACTACTTTCGACACCTTGTAAATTTTCGTCATGGTTGTCCAATTTATAAGGAATTAGTATACATTATTCCGCATAACTTACTTGTTAGTTCGCATAAATGACTTGTCAGTACGCATAACTTATTTGTCAATCCACGTAACCTGTTTGTCAGATTATGTTATTTGAATGTATGGTTTTGTAACAATTGTTGGTGAATTAATTTTCAAAAAAATAAAGGATAAATACCATATTAGATATAAATAAAGCAATACAAGAACAATACAAAACGCAGTACTTGTTAAAAAAATGGGACATCTTTCAAAAGATTTCAAGGGGCTTCAAACTCGAAACTCTGTCCGTTGCTAATGGATTTGTATTCTTCTTTAGCCACCTCCAAGATGCCTTCCTCAGTATCATTCACACGATCGTCTTCAATCTTATTATAAAGATCGTTGAATAACACAACTTGTGTTTTCAATTCATACGATTTTACAGCTATATCAAGCGTGTTGCGATGGTTTTGTATGGTGGTTTCAGCGTCAGTGTTGAAGGTATTCGTTAATGGGACCCAAAACATTCTATCCTCCAAACTAGTGTTGCCTTTGACATTAATATATGCACGAGTTAGAAGCAAATACTTGTTAGCTATCCATCGGTTTGAACCCATTGTAAAACATACAAAGTACATGAACTAAAATACCTTAGATGAAGTGATACATTATTGTTTGTCATTTTATATAGATATGACAGTCCGCAAATATCCGAAGATCATCCATGACAATATATAGAGCCTTCAACTCCGCAAAGCGAATGGTCAGTCCGCGTTACTGACTTGTCCGTCCGTGTTACTGACTTGTCAGTCCGCAAAGCGAATGGTCATTCCGCATTTTGAACAAGACTATTTTGAACAGGACTATGTTGTCGTGGGGGAGACTCTACAGGGTTAAGAGTCCAATTGACATAACAAACGTAAAACGACAACATCAGCTCCTCCGGGTTTGCCACGACATTAATAGGTTGGTTTTTAGGCTGCAAAAATCAGATTGTTAGTTCAACATGAAAATACATTGAAATTTGTAAATATAAATGATTGTTAATATAAAAAACATACCACATACACGTTCATTATTCGACAACATTGATCCTAATTTAACGGTGATTTACTTCTCCACACCCTCATCTGTGGCAATTCTGTCAGCGTGCGTATATAAAACTTGGTTGCCTCTGGGAACGTCTCCAAAATCCATATCTATGAAAAAAATGTAAGTATCGTTCTATTATACTATAAAAGTCATGATACAAACTTATTATATAATACAAAACGAAGTTCAAATTTGTATAGTATAAAAAACTAAACAATGATAACTATTAAAATGCATTAGAAAGTAACCTTTAACAGAAGCATAAAACCAGGAATGGTATACTTGTGTCCTTTCTTCGATTCGGGATTCGCCTGCTTGAATTCTCTAAACTCTTCTATTTTCTCAAACATTCCACGCATCATACGCGAAGTATATTTCCAGAAATATGTACCCCATGCAAACCTGCAATTTTCAATTTATTTATTATAATTAGTGCATTGGATACTACTGCGGGAATGCCTGTTTTAAATGTAATACTTGTTCCAATAATCTATATTATCAGCAAGCTTGTATATTGTTGTAGGAACGCCCGTTTTAACGTCTCGTTCGTGTAGACCCTTCAACATAAAAACAAGCTGGATATGCATCACAACATCTTTATCTTGTAGTACCAAATAATTCGGGGACACAATCAAGTCTTCTAAATTATTCAGCCGCAAACGTGAATCAAAAATATTTGGGAACAACCGAGCACGGAGCTATGAATTTGACTGGCCCTTTTCGTCGTGGAGTAAATCCACATAAGGACCAACTTTTAAACCACAAATCAGAATATATTCAGTTTCACCAAAATTCAACTGGATCCCCTCTATATCAAACAGAAACCTCGTCATTTCAAATATTTGTTGAGACGTTACTTCGTGAAACATCATCATATGCACAAGTAATGGATCACCATGTGAGATATGAATTCCTAAGAATATTCCAAAGGGGGAAGCTTAGAATAATACTCGTTGTGATTGTGTTAGGCGTGGAAAATACTTTTTAATCATAGTCCCCACCACGCCTTTCAAAGTTAACTTCGCTTTTTGATTGAGATCTTCGTGTTACACAACAAAAAAAAATAAAAAATTTTATTTCATTTAAAACATTACTAATTGTAAAAAAATATTAATCCATTATGAAATAAATAGCAACATACTTAAAAGCAGAAAAATAAAAATTGTACAAAAACCATCACTCCACGGAGGCTAGAGGTCATTCCGCGGAGTGACCTCTAGCCAACGTGGAGGCCTGCATTGTTCGATTACAACATTCTGCGGAGGAAACACATCACTCCGCGGAGCACCCTCTGCGGACTGACGTCCCCCTTTGCGGAATGGATCATCCCCAAAATCATATATGTGATTTGTAAACCTAAAAATCCTAAATCTGTATACATATTCAATGTAATAAAATGGGTTTTCCTTTAATTTGAATCATATTCGACATTTTCGACATTAATAATTAGATGAGAATGTGATAAATACCCGGGAACCATATCCATCGGCCATAACATCGGGGAATTCGTGGTCCATCGGTGATGAAAAGAGATCAGCGACTCGATTTTGTCGGATTTGAAGTCGTCGCCAGATTTGAAGTGTTTGATGAAGCCTCTACGACCCGATGCGGAGTGACGAAGACGAACGGGGACAGTGGGGACCAAAAGAGGACCCCTTCATTTTTTTCATAAAAAATGGTTTAAATTACGAAATTACCCCCTCTCTGCGGAGATTTCATGGTTCCGCGGAGGTCCCCCGAGGGGTCCTCCGTGGAATGTTTGTCTATATCTTGAAAAACCTTTTTTTATGACTAAAATTTGAAATTAACCCCCATTTTTTTTTGTCTATTTGTGGTATTTTCCCTTTTTTTTGAAAGAGAAATAACTAGGCATTGTCGAAGGTATAGGATATGAAATGTATTAAATATCTTCATAACAAAAAAATAAAATAAAAAATTTAGTAAACTCCTAATATTTTAGCCTAGTTTATGAAAAGTTTAAAACTAAATTTTATTTACAAATAAGCACAAAATACTAGCTAAAACTTCGAAAAACAAACCCCATTTTTGCTGGTTTAACAGATTTAGCCGATATCTTTTTTATTTTTTTATTTTTAACTTGGTCAAAGTATTGAGATTTTTCTGAAGATTAATTTACTCTTAACCAACCAAAGTATTGAGACTATTCTGAATATTACCCTTAAACTAATGTATAGTATTATTAACAAATCATTATAAACTCTAACATTTTACAAAATGTTATCTCTTGTAGTGTAAGTCCCAAAACTCGGATCTTCTCAAGGTATCAATGCAATTGTTTGAGTTAGTGCGGAATCTTAATCAAACAACTATGCGAAACAAACAATCAATTAGATGAACCAATGAACACATTTCAATGAATGCACACAATTCTATTAATCAATTGTCAGGTACATTCAGCTACTCTTCAACCGTGTATATGCTCCAACTCACCAAAAATGCATTAACCTTGAATAGCCATATATAAACCATATTTATACTAAACAATCTTCCCCTTGGTTTAAGGCTTTTAGTACTCTTCAAGGCTTTTCCACGAGATGCAAGTTCGCTTAATCAAAAGCTCCAGCCCACAGCTACCTTTCAATTATGGTTGCTACCATTCCGGTGAAGACTTTTTAAGCAACTTCAAACAATTCATTTTCAACAATTATTTGAACGTTTGACAAAGTTTGAATATCACACTTACAAAACTTCAACAAGTATTTAGGATCAACAATGCGATACTGGTTCATTTTCAGCTTGATCACTGCTGACGTGGTAGCCTCATCATAAACCCATAATTGCATTGAATCCAAAGTGCCTTCTGGTAAACGTTTAGGAAGTGGAATTCATTTAGCTTGCTTTGTAGGCAGCCACATAACATTCACCATGGTTTTGTTAGTGCGAGGATCAATGACATCCTTGGCCTTTTTCGTAAATGAAGAAACCGTCTTCATGCCTTCAAAGTTATTTTTAGCTTTATCCTCAAGAAAACTCTTACAAGACCAGGCCATGGGATCATTGGTTGGATTGTGGAAAGGAGCGTGAATAAGTTCAAAAAGATCAACTTTTGTCAAAGACAGAAAGTCGACTTTCTTCTCATAATATTCAATTTGTCCGCTCTTTCGCTTTACGATCCACATTTTCTTATCTGCATCATATCCCCACATCAAAATACCAGAGCGGTCCCCATATTTATCTGTAACTTTCTTCCCAATCTCTCTAAGAAACATCTCAGGGTGATCACCTGGAGCATTTTGGTCTGAATGTTTCATCACTAACATCTTCCCTCTTGGATGCTCAACCCTGATTTGCTTCTTTCTTCTTTCTTGAGCAGAAGCAGTATCAGAAGATAAAAATGTGTCAAGATTTGCATCCAGAGCAGGTATTACAACTCTTTCACTTGCAGGTTGAGAAGTTAGATTGGTTGGACCACAACTAGAAGCCGAAATCTTTTCTCATTCAGCACTTAAAGGTTGAAAATCATCACCAAACTTTTGATGTAAGCACTGTTTCAGGTCAAAGAATAAAGCAGTTAAACCACTAAGATTTGCTTGAAGTTATGAAATCTTTGCATCTTTAATGGAGTTCTCCTTTTCAAGATCACTGATTCTAATGTCTTGTCTTCCAATAATCAAATCCTTTTCAACTGAGCTCTGTTCCTAATCAAAAACTCTATTTTGAAGCAGAGCGACATCTACAAACTCAAGCTCAGGCAACTTGCTCTTGCCTTTTGAAATATCTAGTTCGAGGGCTTTAAAAGAGTTTCCAGAAGCTTTAACACCTTCTGAAGGGAATAATTCTTGTTCAACAATATGGCTTTCAAAATCTTGATCTATTGGAGTGGATTTAGGTATCGTCCTTGAAATCTATTGCATCACTAGAAAAGACCCAGTGAATGTGCTTTCAATATTTTAGGCCACAGAACTAGGTGCAATCAAAGTAGATACATTTTGAACAGGGTTTGGGATAAGCACTCCAAGTCTTGGATCTTTTCTTTTCCTTTTTCCTGGGAGTAGAACGTGAGCTGAATCTTCTTGATCACTCTCAGATGGAGGTTCGGTTGTAACAGAAACTGTTTGGGGAGGCTTCCTGACAGTTCGTTGAAGTTCAACAATAAGAGCATCCATCTGTTTAGAGGTAGGTGTATAAGATTGCACAGTTGAGTCACGATCTCTTTCAGTCACAACAGAAGGTGTGATAGCCACATCCTCTTCAGTGATAGAGATACTTTGTAGAAAATCTTCAAACTCATTCTTTGTTAAATCCTTTTCTTGAGCCTCTTCTTCTTCTTCATCATCAGATATTTCAAGCTCTTCAAATGCAAATTAAAATTTTGATTTAGGTGCCACGTGTTCCTCAACAACCTCAATATTAATGGAACTAGTAGCAGGAGTATCTTCAACTTCAACAAACTTTCCAAACTTAACCAACTCCTTCAATCCTTTATAGGTGACTTTGGCATCTTTTCTTGATTGTTTCATGAGCCCAAAGGTGTTGGGACCCAAAGCTTTCATGTCAAAAGTATCAGACGACCTCTTAATTTGGGGGTATTTTTCATTTAGGATCATTTGAACAAACCTGGGATACATAAAAACTAGGTCCTTCTTCTTCCCCCGGAGGTTGCTTTTTCATTTCTTCAAAAACAAACTTTGAAAAGTTGTAATCCCAGTTCATTGCTAAATCGACAATAGCTGAGGTCGTAGTCTGACTAATTTCAGCAGATCCTCCTTTCCTTCTAGAAATGTAACTCAAAAAATAGTGTGCCAGAAACCTCCTGTAATGTGGCAGTAGCTTCTTGATGGTGTGAGGATAGGTTCCTTCATAACACATCCTCTTAAGAACTTCCTTCACTTGATCCGCAGAGTACTCAATTGGAAATGCAGATGCATCATGAAATTCAAGTACTTCTCGGATAACTTGCTCAGATATAATTACTTGAGTTCCCTTCACCATTGATTCAATAATACCAATTCCATATTCTCCCTGATTGTTGATTGAAGAATTTTTCCAGAGTTCAATAATCAAGTCTTTATAGATGACTGGATTAGATCGGAGGGCATGAAAAATCCTGCAGTTGTTCAAACCCACCATCATGGATTTGAATTCTTGATGAGTAACAGGTGGATCCATAAGATATCCAGCAACATTGTGAGAGTCCACAAATTTAATCTGCTTTTCCATTTATTTACACCAAACTAGCCAAGTGAGAGTTGATTTAAAAATTAATTAAATTAAGTTTAAAATTTGATTTCGGTTGAAGTCAAAGATTTAATCGATTTCGGTCAAAGGCAAAAGTTCAGGCGTTTTTGGTTAAACTCAAGGTTTCGATCAATTCTGGTCAAAACTGATCGATTTCGGTCAAAATACTTTTGACCAGACGTTTTCGATCAACGCTGGGTGATTTTGTCCAAGAACGTTGTTTTCTGTCAAGCCTTCATCTGATTTCGGTCGGACCTGGGTTGGATCGAAAACCTGAAAATCCCATTGGAACCTGTTCCAGATAGATTTCGGCCGAATCTTCCATTTTATTCACAAGTGGTGGATCATGCGATTTCTTCAAGGGTTCAGCGAGATCATCACAACGAAAATGTTATAGGTTCCTAGGCTAATGGAGTCTAAACCAGAAGCCAGAGCGGATATGTTAACAAATCTTCCAGTCTCTTCACAAGTGGTGGATCATGCGATTTCTTCAAGGGTTCAGTGAGATCATCCCATCAAAAATGTTATAGGTTCCATGACTGGAAGATTTGTGATGTTCTCTACCCTACCTATGGCTGAATCACTGCTATTAGATGATCAGAAGTCATAAGAAGTACTTACGACATAGTCAACAAGAATTCTATCAGGAAAGAGAAAATCCATGAAAGTAGAATCAAAGGTTCCTACAGAGTCTGAGGAGACATTTTCAGTAGAAGCGACATTTTCTTCCAGAACTAGTGAATTGGCAACCTTTTTCAGGAGATTTAGGGGCTAACATCAAAAATAGCCATGAGTAGTTCTCTAATACTCAACAAATCGCAGTGCGTTCCTCCGGGTTCAGACGCATGGACTTTTTAGTCACGGTTACTTTTAAGACGCATCTATGATCAAAGAAGAATATTCATTCAATGGAATTATAAGTGAATATTTTTTTTACAACACACTATCTTTCAACCCAGAAGCAAGGTGAAGTTGTTTTTTAAGTTATGTGACGAATTTCATTGAAGCCTCCTCAATTATTTTGCTTCTATCTATGAACTTGCTGAAGTGATCCAAAAGAATCGATCTCTCTGTTATTATCTCTGAAGTTTATCAAAGTTGAAAGTGCTGATTTACAAGAACCTATACAAGAAGCCTTTATTCCCAATGTGCGTTCAAGCTCAATTTTTAAAAGAAGTCCAACTATTGAAGATGAAGTAATTCATGCAGAAATTCATATGTTCATCTTGAATTTGTGAAGAAATCAAGATAAAAGGTGAAGGTCAAGAACAAAGAGAATATTGAAAACAAAAGAAAGCTATAAACCAAGGGGAGATTGTGAGGACTTGATTTAAGGTTTATACTTTACTTTTGATGATTTTTAGAGTTCTCAGTCTAGGACCGAAAACACCATGTTCTCGGTGGTGTTTGGACCGAAATCACCATGTGATTTCGGTGGGCTTAATGAGGTTTTTGGTTGGATTTTGGGCTGGGCCTTTGTAGTTAGGTCTATATATATATATATATATATATATATATATATATATATATATATATATATATATATATATATATATATATATATATAGTTATTTCAGCCGTGTAAAAGGTTGGTCATTCAAAAAAGAGCTGAGATCGAGTTTTAGAGAGAAAGATAGAACTGAGAGTAACTTAAGAATCTTATGTACTAGACTATAATCAATAAACTGTGCATTGAAGATTACAAAAATTATGACCGATAACCAAAAAATAAATACTTTCTGACCGAAAACATCAATAGTCAATACCTTGTTGACCGAGAATCTTAAAGGTCAAATTGCTTAACCGAAAACAGTTGACCGAAAAATATACGTATTGGCCGAAAACTCTTCCGAACAAAAAACCCAAGTCTTTTCACCGGAAATGTTAATTAGCCGCCGAAAATGTTGAGATTAAGCCGAAAACGAGATTTTGATTGAGTTTCCTTATCCAATGAATCCCAAAATTTGGTAAATTACCAAAAATGATTTCCAAATCAATATCCTCCAAAATTAGTGAAGAATCACCAAGAAAATTATGAACACGAACAACAACAACACGATGAACAGCCAAAATTTTTAATAAAACTGAAAAACACCTTAAACTAATTAATGTTTCGAAAAACAATTGATACCAAACAACCTTAAGTAGATTTTAAGGCTCTGATGCCACTTGTAAGTCCCAAAACTCGGATCTTCTCAAGGTATCAGTGTAATTGTTTGAGTTAATACAAAATCTTAATCAAAAAACTATGCGAAACAAACAAACAATTAGATGAATCAATGAACACGTTTCAATGAATGCACACAATTCTACTAATCAATTATTAGGTACATGCAACTACTCTTCACCAAAAACGCATTAACCTAGAATAGCTATACACAAACCATATTTATACTACACCAATTAACCTAAAGCCCAAAGATAACAAGCACACCGAAAACACTAAGCGCATGAGTGATTTCAGTCCACAACTGAGAACACATATGACATACAAAATAAAGCATAAACCACAAAATATAGTCCAACGTGTAGCTAAGAGCACATCAATCTTCCATCTGGACACCACCAAATTCTTACTGTAGTTTTCTTAAATTTTGAAGGATAAAGACCGTGTGTTTTTCTTCTAAACACGAAAGACACATTTATCTACAGTCTACACCCTTTCTCAATCTTCCATCTGGACACCACCAAATTCCACTATCACTGCCACATCTCCGGTAAGCATCCCTCACCATGAACTCGCCGTATCTTCTTCATTTCCCTTATCTCTTCTTTTTCCTTAACTATCATTAGATCACTAGAGCACCACTGCCCAGTCATCGCCCTCGAGAACCATGACCTAGCCTCACCTCACTAACTTGCACTTTTGGATTTGATTTTCCGATTGCTAATACATTTACTGATGCTTTGTCTTATGTTTTTTTTGATTGTTTGCAAGTTTTATTGTGTTAATTTTAAGTCTAACCTCACAAAAATAATTTTTCCTTTGTTGGTTTCTTCCCCAGTGAACATATTAGAAATATAAAACTACATAGATAATCAATAAAAGCTCACAGGCCTCCATCGTTCTTCTCTTTCTACTATGCTGTTAGGAGCTAAATAGGTCTTCCATTTATTCCTAACCTAGGTAAATCAAATATGTCAAACTGTAATACTTGAATTAGGTATGTTTCTATGTAACCCCTTTTTATTTTAAAACATTGCATTATGGTCCTTATGGCTAGTACGCGGATTGTACTATGGAGTACGATTTGTGTACTAGCTGGAGTTTGATCGCGAGATCAAACTACGTGTGTTGGGCGTACATGTGATACGCTAGGCGATGCTGGCCAGGGGAAAACCCTAATTTTAGGGTTTGTGTCCTATTTAAGCATCATTAACTCTCATCCTGGACATTTTAGACCAGCCTCCACTCTTTAAAAACCCTAGTTCGTCCCTTTCCTTTGTGTGGTGCTTTTGAGCTATTATTTTGATCATTGGAGTGTTTTGTGCATCTTAAAGTGGCAGAAGAAGAAGCTTGAGGACTCAATCTTTGGAAGGGAGCTTAGAGATTCAACTTTAGCACCATCATTTCATGGATTTTCAGGTATAAAGTTCAAAGCTTGCCATCTCATTTCATAGATCTATACCTTGGCATGCATTTGGCTTCTTTAGTCCCTTTTGGTTGGTTTTGTGAGCTAAGGTTGATTATGGAGCTTGTCCTTGTAGATCTTGGCATATTAAGGGTTTCTTAAGCATAAATTTGCAAACTTTATGATGATTCTGGACTTATGCATGTGTTAAGTCATTTATTAAGCTCTTTTGAGCTATAGAGACCTATTAAGCCATGCATGCACATAAAGTTGGCAACTTTACATGATAAACAACCTTAAGGAAGTTAGATCTAAGGTTTGGTTCGAAACCTTAACTGAATAAGTGCCTAATGAAGAAATTTGGTCAAGCTGGGAGTACGTTGGGCGTGCGAACCCCAAAGCGAGCACGCTCTGCGTACTAAACAAATGGGACAAATGGGCTTCAAAATGTTTTGGCTCAAGGTGTTCATCCATGTTTGGACTCTAGAAGATTATGGCCTTGTTTGGCCAGCCGAATATTATTTTGGGCTAATGATATTGTATTGGTCCTTTGGTTGAAGGCCCATGAAGGGGTTTGTGCCTAATTTGGAAAATTAGGCCATATTTGGGTATTAGATGATTATTTTAAACTTTTGGCTTTTCAGACTTTTGGATTGGGCTTTGGCTATGGGCCAAATTCGGGAAAGCTTAAATTAGGTCTTCTACCTTAGATTGGACACCTTGTGTGAGTCGGGATCCAATTATTAATTGGATGTTATTTATGATTATAGCGTGGGATTCTTGGCGGGTCAGTAGTCAGATTTTTATCTGTGAGATTCACTAGCATGAGGAGAGTTTCCTCACTGTGTTTAGGGGGTCGAAGGCACCAATGCCGACCCATGGTTTTATGTTTTAGTATGCTAGTTTTGCGTGACTATTCCATGTGTTATGTGTATATGATTACTAGGTGGGGCCCGATGACTGTATTGTTTGATATTATCTTTGTGATTATCGTATGTGTTTGTATGTTTATATGATTATATGTTATATGTATATCGGGTTGGGACCAATGCTAAGGGGGCCTGAAGACTGACAAATCTGTATATTGAGCGAGGATCGATGTCGAGCGGGGCTCGATGACGAGGGAGGCCCATTATGTGTTTATTTATTTATGTATAGTATGTGGTATTTTGGGGAATTCACTAATCATTAGGCTTACGGTTTTCAGTTTATGTTTTAGGTACTTCCAAATCGACTAGGATGAGCTTAGGATGATTGCAGAGTACACACCACCTTTTTCCGCATTTTGCGATTTACTCTGATATGTTTTCATGTATTGAAATACTTTCTTTTGGGGTTGTATGCCAAAGTTTGGATTAATGTTTTTATTAAATCAAAAATAAGATTTTTATGTTTTATTTATAGGATGTTACAAGTTGGTATCAGAGCCTTGGTTTGAGGGATTTAGATATAATCTCGGGTGTGTCTAAACGCAAACTAAGGATTTGGTAAAGTTATTTTTATTTTTATTTTTTTATTACATATATATATATATATATATATATATATATATATAAAGAAACATTTTAAAGAAAAGGGTTTTCTAATACAATAAAGGGTGTGGTGTATGCAATCGACCGTGCTTAAGTAAGTATTCCTAAAATACCCATACATGTTATTTGATATGATTTGATTTGTGAATATGTGAATCGTATGCTAATTAGGGCTAAGGATCTGTTCAGTATTTGCATGATAGAATGCTAGGAGAGATTCC